TGTTCTCTTTTTTGTTTTTTCTTATGTTGTAACTTGTAACTATCATGTTTTAACTAATAAAATAATAATATAATAAAAACAATAACAATATAACAAATAAACAAAGAATAAACAAACAAAATAATACAAAACCAATCAGGCGCGCCTTTAGAGAGCCTTTCGCCTAGCGCCTTTGAAGTAAAGGCGCACGCCTTCATTAACCCAAGCGCCTTAAGTCAATAGAGGCGATGTGATGGCGCCTGGAGGCGCCTTGCGCCTTAGGCGCGCGCCTCCGGCGCCTTTGACAACTATGCCTGTAACGGGGTACACAAAGAAGATCTAGGTTGAAGAGAAAGTGAGGGAAGTGGAACCGCAGGAAAAGGCGACTCAGGAGTAATATCAAGAATTGAATCACTATCTGAAAAATATTGGACGGACTCACAAAAGGTCACATCCGCGCTAATAAAGTACTGTTGAGAAACAGGACTATAGCAGCGATAACCTTTATGAGAACGAGAGTATCCAAGAAATACACACTTTGTGGCACGTGGGTCAAGTTTATCAAAACCAGGACCAAGATTGTGGACATAACATACACATCCAAAAACTCTAGGAGTAAGAGAAAACAAAGGAGAATCAGGAAATAAAATAGAATGTGGAGATTTGCCATCTAATACAGATGACGGCATACAGTTAATAAGATGACAGGCAGTAAGAACAGCATCACCCCAAAACCGTTTGGGCATGCGCATATGAAACAAAAGAGCACGGGTTACTTCTAAGAGGTGTCGATTCTTACGTTCTGCAACTCCATTTTGTTGAGGAGTATAAACACATGAATTTTGATGAATAATTCCTTTATCACTAAGATATGTATCAAAGGGGGTTGAAGAATATTCCTTAGCATTATCAGAACGTACAATACGAATTGGGCAGCCAAACTGAATTTTGATTTCTTTTCGAAATTTTTGAAAAATTAAAAATAACTCAGAACGATCTTTCATCAAAAACAACCAAGTTAGGCGAGAATAATCATCCACAAATGTCACAAAATAATGAAATTTATTGATTGAAGAATGCTTTATTGGACCTCATACATATGAATGAACCAAATGACAATAATTTCAAATTACTAAGACTAGGAACTTGATGCTGCAAAACTTGAAGTGACGGGTGACAAAGACGACAGTGCCACTGGAATGGAGACAGAGAAGACTGAAGAGCCACAGGATAAGGTGCCAAATCAAAGTAATATAAGCCACCGGCTTCATACCCCATACCAATCTTCTTCTTCGTCTTGAGATCCTGAAACACACAAAAAGTAGGATAAAATGTAACAGAGCACTGAAGAGATTTAGTAAGCTTACTGATGTACATTAAATTAAAGGGAAACTGAGGAACATATAAAACAGACGAGAGAGACAAGGAATCACTAAGTTGAGTTGTCCCCAAACCTGAAACCTTAGCGGAGGAACCATTAGCAAGGGTAACTCTTTGAGAAAGAGGTACAGAATTAAAATCAGATAGAAGAGAAGAACATCCAGTCATATGATTGGATGCTCCAGTGTCTATGATCCAAGGACTGCGAGTGGAAGACAATAGACGTGTGTGCAGTACCTGACTGGGCAAAGGTAGCCATGGAAGATGAATTAGATGCTTGCTTATAAGACAAAAACTGAGTATACTCATCATGTGGAACACGGACCGTATCTGATTCAGCTACATTGTGAGATCCAGAAACAACATCATTCGGAGAGGAGGAAACTTGATTTGCATAACTAGATGGTTTGCCATGAAGGTCGCGCGATGGTGCTTACTAAGTTAACAAACTTCACATGACAATAATTTCAAATTACTAAGACTAGGAACTTGATGCTGCAAAACTTGAAGTGACGGGTGACAAAGACGACAGTGCCACTGGAATGGAGACAGAGAAGACTGAAGAGCCACAGGATAAGGTGCCAAATCAAAGTAATATAAGCCACCGGCTTCATACCCCATACCAATCTTCTTCTTCGTCTTGAGATCCTGAAACACACAAAAAGTAGGATAAAATGTAGCAGAGCACTGAAGAGATTTAGTAAGCTTACTGATGTACATTAAATTAAAGGGAAACTGAGGAACATATAAAACAGACGAGAGAGACAAGGAATCACTAAGTTGAGTTGTCCCCAAACCTGAAACCTTAGCGGAGGAACCATTAGCAAGGGTAACTCTTTGAGAAAGAGGTACAGAATTAAAATCAGATAGAAGAGAAGAACATCCAGTCATATGATTGGATGCTCCAGTGTCTATGATCCAAGGACTGTGAGTGGAAGACAATAGACGTGTGTGCAGTACCTGACTGGGCAAAGGTAGCCATGGAAGATGAATTAGATGCTTGCTTATAAGACAAAAACTGAGTATACTCATCATGTGGAACACGGACCGTATCTGATTCAGCTACATTGTGAGATCCAGAAACAACATCATTCGGAGAGGAGGAAACTTGATTTGCATAACTAGATGGTTTGCCATGAAGGTCCCAACAAAAATTCACAGTATGATTAGAAAGGCCACAATGAGTACATTTTCGTGATTCCCTGCCACGGCCATGTCCTCCCCGTGAATCACGACCGCCACGTGTGAAGCGTCCCCCACGACCTCCACGGAAAGCAGTATTTTCACCCTCGGAAACGATCAATGTTGAATGCTCACCACTCTGCCTACTATTCAAAGTTGAGGTATCACTGACAAGTGTAGCGCGCTGAAGTCTAGAAAACACATCTGCAAGACAGAGATGGAAGTGTGGGACTGCCCATAATCTGTGAACGAAAAGACTCATAAGCGGATGACAAACCAGTAAGAAAACGGACAACATTAAAGTCCTTACGTTTTTGTTGCATACTTCGAACATCAACAGTAATGGGCTGATACATATTCAGCTCCTCACAAACTCCCATAACTTTAGAATAATACTCTTCTATACTATGGTTACCTTGTTCAAGATTGAAATACTGCTTACAGAGCTCATAAACACGAGTTATATTACCTGTCCCAGAATACAGTTGCTGCAATCTGTCCCATATCTCCTTGGCAGTATCCAAATAAAGTAAAGTTGAACTGATTTGGGGTTCAATACTGTTTATCATCACAGAGATGATCTGAGCATCTTCCTTTTCCCATGCATCAAAAGAAGCATCAGTTTCCTTGAGTTTCTCTTTAGTCAGATGAGTACCAAGGCCTTTACCTTTGAGAAAATTTTTAACAGATTTAGCCCACAGTATGTAATTCTTCTTATTGAGTTTAACGGAAGTCATGAGAGAATGAAGACCGGATGTGGGAGAAAACAAATCTGAACTGGATGCCATGTTGAACTCAGCAAAACAGAGAAGAAAAAGAAGCAAAATTGGTATTCTGGCCAAACCTAGTAAACGAGCCGGATCTGGTCAAACGGTTCGGATCTGGGCTATCCCAGGTTTAGTAAACCAGGGTTGGAATAGCTTTTCCAGGTTTAGTAAACCAGGATTGGAATAGCAGAACCGTGTAGCCAAACAAGGGTCTTCTTCTTCACACCTTCACAAACGCCGGTGAACAAAGCAGCGGAGACAATGGTGACCCAGTCATAAGCAACGGCCGAATCAAGAGGCAGCTACCTCTGCAACTTCCGGCCAAAAAAAACAATTCAATGAACCTCACCTCTGTATATCAAGCCGGCAGATCTGATGACGAGCTCGCTGACAACCAAAAAAGAAGCTGCCGGCAACGACGATGACTAACGATGCAAATCTGACGACGACGAATGACGATGCAGATCTGATGACAGTGAACGAATAGCTGCCGGCGAAGAAAGCAGGAACACCAACACCACAATCGCGATTCCGTTCGCGATTCCGATCGTGATTCCGATCTTAACCCACACAATTACAGACCCTCAAACCCAGGAATTCGTAGCGCTCTGATACCATGTTCTTTATCATGAGAGATAGAGAGAGAGAGAGAGAGAGAACTTGTACACTATATTTCACACTATGCAACCTAATAAGCCTACATAGACTTATATAAAGGATACAAGTCACCTTAATAACACAAGGGCCCTACTAACATAATGTAATTACATAATGGCCCAACATATATATATATATATATATATATAACATTCTAATAGAATTAAGCCTTGCTTCCACTGAAATGATGTCAAATCTTTTATTGGTGCTGACCTCAAGCTCCTCGATTTTAGGTAAATAACTATGTGGAGCTCATAAACCCAAGAAATGGAAAACAAAATTCTCTCTCTCTCTCTCTCTCGTGTGTGCAAATTTGTGGATGCGTACTGCAGTGGTGGGGAAGGGTAGGGGTGGGTTTAAACATGCATGCTTATGAAATTTGCAATTTTTTTATTTGTGATTTCCTTATTTTTTTAATACTTCTAATTCTTTTTGAACTTACATTTTTCTAATTTATTTATCCATTCTCTTTTGTTAAAAGAATTAGAAGTTCTTCACGTGAAATATAGTTTTATTTTACTTATAGAATTACTTGAATTGTTTACAAACAAAAAGATGAACCATATTTGCCCCTTTTATGTGATTGTTAACAGTCTCTCTCTCCCCTTCTGTATATATGTATGTATGTATGTATATGTGTGCTTATGACGTGCTTGTGTGCATTCATGTACTTTGCATGTGCATGCGTCAAACCATTCACTATTTTCTGTATCTTTCTGCAATCTTTCCTACAGAATTTCTGCTTAAAATTTGTGGGCATTTTTCATTTTCCACTTCTTTCCATTAGAATGGACATGATATATGTTGTTGGATGGTGAGTAGGCCCTAATTCAAAACATCCTTGTAATGCTAAAGAACTCAAATAAGTTGCATAAGCAGTTGTGGGTTAACATCATTATTGTATCATGTATGGTGTAGTTCACATTATTCTGTCACAATTCAATCGGACTGTCAGCCTCTTCTGGTTCGATTATCATTTATCTTCGTTATCTCTGTTGTAATTTTTTGTTTTGTTTTGTTTTGTTTTACATGTAGATCTTTAAAGAACTCCACTCCCTCAAGCCGATTCCTGGTCCTGATCCAAATTACAATGATATTTGCTTCTCTGGTGCTGAAAGGTAGCTTCTATAGCACCGTAGAAGGTTATTACTATCAATAATAATATTGTTTCACTATATATCGTTGTGTTGCAAGTAATATTTAGTCTTGATGTTTGCTTCAGTGATGTCTCACAACTTTCAAAAACCTTTCCAATAGTTGACATGGTTTTTGGCAATGGACAGAAGCTGTCATTATCTCCTGAAAACTACTTGTTCCAGGTAAGCACATTACTTCTTATTTATTTTTATTTTTTTTGAATCTTGTTTTCTTGAAACCAACATACTTTGGTGTAGCTTTGGATGTCCTTGGAACTGGTTATTTGATATGCACTAACTGATGATTTATTCCCTGCTTCAATCATTTCTTATCCATCTAAAGCATTCAAAGGTGCATGGTGCATATTGCCTGGGGGTTTTCCAGAATGGAAAGGATCCAACCACTCTTTTAGGAGGTATTTATTGTGTTATCAAACGTATTCTAACAAAGTTTCACCATTATGCACCCCACTTCATGTGAAAAGCTTCTGTTTTTTTTACCCAGTATATGTTGAAAAACTGAATTTCATTTAGGCTAAGGGTTAAGTCCCTATAGGGGCAATTGTTAGTGTGTGTATGTACTACCTACAAAAAAGAAGGTACTTCTATGAATATTTTAATGTAAATGTACTCTGTCACAGGAATAATTGTCCGCAATACCCTTGTGACGTATGACCGTGAGCATGAAAAGATTGGTTTCTGGAAAACTAATTGTTCTGAGTTATGGGAAAGACTTCACATTCTTGGTGCTCCTCCACCGGCTCCCATATCTTCTAATGGAACTGACTCGAATGCAGATATGCCACCTACACTGGCTCCTATTGGACCTCCGCAGTATGTTCCTCCAGGTACAATAATATTTCAGCTTGTACCTTAAGTTTATCCTATCCCTAGCCATTTTATTTGCATTATTTGAAGTAATTAATATTTGTCATACTAAAGTTGGATTGGACACTTATTCGTAAGTAGTTGTACTGTTATTGTGTTCGTTGTTTGGTAACTCATCTGAATATTTCTACTATGGGTTTGGAGGAAAGAGAGATGCTGTCCTATCTATTATTTTCTCCTCTTCAATTTCATTTCTATGATATTCATTGGAATTAGATACTTTTTGCAATCTAATGTTCTTCCTTTCCTTTTTTGCTGAGATTCTGATAAAATTTAATTGACTATCTATATTATTTTCTCTAACTTATCTTTTTTTAAAGAATTTGTTATGGAATTCAGCTCATTTTTCGCTTGATACCCCTAGTGTTGTCATTGTCACATTCAATTCTTATCTATTTTTTTCTATTTATATCGTTCTTCCTCTCCCTCCCTCCCTCCCTCCCTCCCTCCCTCTCTCTCTCACACACACACACACACAAACATACCTTTGGGATGAGCAAAACATAACCATGATTAGCCCAGGAAATGATCAACTTCAGCTTGAAGTTTGAGCAAGAATTTACTTTGTCTTGGTCATGACTGCTTGTCATAGGCCAACTTCTCCAAGACTAACATGTTTACCTCATGATATCTTTTCATAGTGTCTCTTGTCCGGGTACGTATTAAGGTTTTGTATATGGGTTTCTGACTCCCATCTCTTCCAGTGTCTCTGGTACGTCAGCTTGCATGGCACTTCCCATCCCACCACATGGCAATTTGGCATCACCCCAAAGATCCACATGTCACCGCATGGTTTCCGGGGATTCCTTAGTTCTCTCCATTATTGCCCCTCACTCATAAAACTATGTTGTCCCACCTTGGGTTGATCCACTAGGATCTCCAACACCTCTCGTGTAGTATCTTCATCACCCTCAAGAACTCATTTTTGAAGACCATTGATAAAAGCACATTTATGATGGATGGTCCTGTGCAGCGGTGTTGTTGTGAGCGCTAATTTTAGCATTAGCACAGCCATACAGGTATGGTGTCATGATTCCCCTGAACAATTGAGGTGAGGATGTGGCCCTAGAGAGAGTGGAATGGCAATAAAGAATTTTTTTGGTTGACCTCAAAGTTGGGACTTAAGGTGCAATTGTTGAGTCTGAGTTCAGGAGGTCGTGTAGAATTGTGTATGATACCAGCCATATGGGAAAACTTAGTCCTCGATCTTTTAAAATCAGTATATCTTTCTAGATCCAATATGTTCTGACCATACAGAATTTTGTATGTGATCTCTCATAATTTTTGCCCCATTTACAGAACTTTTTGATATGTATCTTGGTTTACTATTTTCATCCCATATAGGCTCACACTAACCCCCTTGGATTTATAGGACATCATGCAATATATCTTTAATGTCTGAGATGCATCTTCTGTAACATATGCTAAAATTGCTCTCTTCATCTTGAATCAAGCCATCTCTGATGGTATTTCCATGTTACCTTCGATATGCAGGGGAATTTCAAGTTGGACTCATCACGTTTTTTATGTTGTTGAATGCCAAGTACTCCGATCTAAAGCCACACATCACAGAACTTCCTCAATTAATTGCCCAGGAGTTAGATGTTAATACTTCACAGGTAGATTATTTTAGATTGTAAAGCATGATGCTTTTGTGGTAGGACCCTGCTATGGCGAGACTGGGTAATACCTTTTTTTTTTTGGTTGCATCATTCGGTCTGAAATTAGTGCAATCCAGATTTTTATTTTTTATTTTTATTTTATTGCATGTTTACTTTATTATATTTGTTATTATGTATTTCTCACACCTTAAATGTCATCTTAACCTAGGGTGACTGTAACTCGAAATGAATGGTTTCAGGTCCATTTATTGAATTTTACATCTAAAGGAAATGATTCTCTGATAAGATGGGCCATTTTGCCAGCAGGATCTGCTGACTACTTCTCTAATGCCACTGCAATAGTAAGTTTGGAGTTTTAATTTTGCCAGGAGTTCTGTACAAAAGATTAGAATCATTTTTTTGAAAAGTATGTTATTGGCAGAATATTATTGCGCGGTTAGCGGAACATCGTTTAAAGCTTCCTGATACCTTTGGAAGTTATCAATTGGTTGAATGGAATGTTGAGCCCCCTCCAAAACGGTATGACTTCTTTCTGCCCACCTGGCCTTCTTCTTTGGTGATGTCGGGGTGTTTTGGGGTATTTTCAAAAGTACAGTGCTGCTAGATTGACTCTATTTGTAACTTGAAATCTTTTGATTTATGTGACGAACTTGGCCTTTTCCCCCCTCCTGCAGCAGCCAGCTGCTTGTTGGATGGGGGTGATGGTTGAGTTGAACATCAAATTTGAAAATCTTACATGCTAGAAGAATTTGGCATGTTCAACTGTATAAATTCTAAACTCCACTTGTTAGTTATGTATATATACACACACTTGTGCATTTCAACCTCTAAGGGATAATATGGAGTAATAATGAAGCCAAAGAAGAAATAATTGGCTCCATTCTATAGAATCCATTACATAGGGAAGCGTCATCTTTTTGTCTGTTCCTTGATTTTTTGTTTTTAATTGGAAGTAATCTAATTAATTTGTTATGCCTGCAATAGGCTTTCTTTCTTTGCAATCATGCACACATTCATTTCATTTGTGCTCGTGCTACTTGATAAAAATAAAAAATCAACTAATATATGGAAAAAAAGAATACAATTAGAATTGTCCTCGATGAGTCTTCATATTTTGAAAGCGATGCATAAAAGTACACACATTGAGTTCATAAAATTACAGTACTAAATTTAAATAAGAAGATAAATAAAGGTTACGGCATATACCACGCACATCATTCATAAGTGCAAAAAGAACTTACACACATATATTTGTTCTACAAGTAGAAAGCTTCAACAGTAAGTCATTCTTGGTCGTTGTATGTTGCTATCTTGTTAGCATGATGATTACACCTTTTATCGTGATAGTGAGTTCTCTTTCTTTTCACAGTTTCTTCATTAGTAAATAATAGTTGCGTTTTTTGGCTACCTTTTCAATGACCATTTGTTTTGTAAATTGTTTAGAGACATGGTATCATATCTGGAGTTTTTGCTTATATATTCGTCCTTTTGGAATGATACAGGATGTGGTGGCAGCAGCACTACTTGTTTGTGGTTGTAGCGATCGTTGTTACACTAATTCTGGGGTTATCAGCTTCTGGGGCGTGGTTTATCTGGAAACGAAGGCAGCAATCTGTTATTTCATACAAGCCTGTGGACGGTGCTGTCCCCGAGCAGGAACTCCAGCCACTATGAAGTCTGAACCCATGAAAAAGTTGCTCCGGTGATTTATGCCAAGCAGTATATAGCACAGCATTCTTTAATCTATAGTTTTGATGACTGATTTCTGCAGCTATAGCTTCCAAAACTGATCAAAAGGGACCACACATGAGAAGGAACAATTCAGGCTTTATTTGATGTTTTTTTAAACTGGGGCGAAATGTAAAAGAGAACTGCTCCTAGCTTCAGTTCATCACATACATAAATTTGTATGTGAATATTGTAAAAAAAAAAAAAAAACCCATTGAATTAAACCTTTGATCAATAAGGCAAATTTATAGTTTGTTGACCTCACATTTTGAGCTGAAAATCACTTATACTACCATATTGAAATGTATGAAAAGTTGATGCATCTTTTGGGGCATGTATTTTCTTAGAGCCAAGTTTTTGCTGCTCATTCTGTCATTCAGCACACAACTTTACAACTTGTAATAAGAAGTTTCTTTTCTTTTATAATTATTTTAGTGCATATCAGATGTGAAGAGCTTTAAACAACAAATTTAACTCCATGTACTGAATATTACGGGAAAACCTTTTCTTTTTTCCACATTTTTTTTTTCTCTCACCCATGTTTCTGGGTGTCACATTTCTTTGTATGAGTGGTGTTCCTGCGCGTTGTGTGGTGTATTTTTTGATTGAAAAAAGTTCAATTTCTGCAAAAGTGAGTGATGATCTACAAAATTAAAATTTGGGTTCCTTTTATAAGCCAAAGAAACCACAATGGGTGTGAATTTGCAATTATTGTCTTGACAGTCCTCAGACAAAGGCGATTCTTTATTAAGAGAGCCCATAAAATAAATTACGAATAAAAAAAAAAAGAGTTAAAAAGAAAATGTTTTTTTCTTTTTTTGGTAAATAAGTTGAAAAGAAAATGCATGATTTTTAAATATAAATATTGAATTTAAAATTATAATATATCTAAAAAGTAGAGTTATAGTTCTAGTTCAAGTTCAAGTTAGGTTGTGCACCTTGGAGCATCTCCAATAGTATATTAAAATACTATTTTATGTAAAATATACATTATATTGTTGTGTATTTTACGCAACTTTTTTACACAGTCATATTAACATATTTCATTTCTCCTCCCTCTTTCTTAATCCATTAACGAATCAACCCTATATTAAATAAGTTTATAAAAATTATGTGGGTCCGGACATGACACTGGCTAGTTGTTATTTGTGATATATTTTTGCATAATGCAAAAAGGTATAAAATAACCGTTGGAGCTAAAAATAAATAATTCAAATTTTTTTTTTTTTAGTAAATCTATTATGACATATCAGATTTAAAAAAAAAAAAAAAAAAACAACGGTTGGAGATGGTCTTAACCAAGCAGAACTCTAATGAAGTTAGGCTCCGTTTGGTTGGATGTATAATATTTTTCATAAAATATATATATATATATATTTATTTTTTGGTGTTTGGTTGTCGTAAAATATTTACGAAGAAAAAAATATATTACAATCTAACAAAAAAAACTTACCTATCGATTTTAAGCAATTTAGTTTACACGCTCTACGTGATGAGCTTTACCTCAATCTCGACTTACACTTTTGCTAAACACTGAAAAAATAAAAATAAAGAAAATATTTTCCAAAAAAAATATTTTACGTCCAAACTTAATGTTAGAAAATTTCAACCCAAACTTAATCTTAATCGTAAAAGGGGGTCGTCCAAGTCCGTAAAAAATTAGATTGAGCTCAAATTAATACGCCAAAGTTATAAATCAAATGTGACAATACTTAAAGTGTAACGTAATGAAATCAATTATTTGGATCGTAGTAAAATTTTATTGACGAATTTTGGCCGAATATTTAAGGATTCGGTTGAGACTGGATCGACTTTTTAAAAATTTGATCAAATCTCATGTGACTCACTAATATATCTGTGAGAAACATTCTCAGAACTACTCACTTGACTCAATGCAGTCTATAGAAAATTATGGTTTAAATAATTGGACACTTGCCAAATGGTAATTTCTGTGCTATTTAAAAGATATGGTGTTTGAATTGTGGACTACTACTAGCTTTCAATTTTTCTACTTGCCAAACAAGTTATATGATACCTATCACCACGGAAAAGTAGAAGAATCCACATCTTTGTCGCAAAAAAAGGAGGCACAATGCGTGTTGACATTGAAATTTGTTTCCCGCAATTCCTGTTAATTTTCTTATGACAGACAGAAAATACCTCAACGTTTTCAAGTAACAAATTCACTTTTGCAAATTACGAGTGCGAATTTCATAATACTACCCTTATTTATTTTTATTTGTAATTTTTGTTACAAGGATATATTAAAGTATATCAAAATACAACATTTTACATTAAAATGCAATACTTGCAACACTCATTATATGCGAAGTGTAATTCACGTAACACCAATTATATCAAAAGTTTGTCTAAGAAATATTAGTCTCGACTCAAATTAATGAAGTGAAATTATCTTGTACGATAAAAACACTAACGTAATGTTTTGGATATTGAAAGCTTTATATTAGTGAATTGATATGAAAAAAATGTTAGAATCAATAATAAGCAAATTTATATCCACTTAACTACGTGCAACCCTTGATTTTATTCTCTTAATTAACTTTGCATAAAATATTGTCCCTGAATTTTATGTTTGTTGGAGTCGATTTGTGACCCAAATGTGACTCATCGAGATAAATTTTTAGACTCATTTTTTCTTACACGTGGTGGACCCAAGTTGTAAATTCTCTCGTGACCTCGTATATTAGAGCATTTAGGATTTAGGTGTTGGAACTTTGCCGAACCTCAATTTCTGTGATGCATTTTTATTTATTTTTGATAATATCTTGATTGTGTTTTTGCTTTCGATAGGTTTTGTACATGAAAAAATGGCTATAGCGGCCAAATCTTAGCTTGCGGCCAGCAAAAATAGCCCGCCTCTTAAAAACATTTTCTAACAGCACGTGGCCTCTGTTTTCTTAGGTTTTTTTTTTCTTCTAACATCCCATTTCTCAGTATCTGCGTGTTTGAACGATTAAACAGTCGCTCATATAAAATTCTAAACTTTTGATCTTTCCTGCGTCCTGCCAAATCAAATTCCAGGTATTTTCTTGGAGCACAAACTAAATCATCGGTTGAAAATTTGAAATTTTTAATCATTTCCTTGAAACTCAAATTAACTAAAAAAAAACTATAAATACCCATCAAACAAAGAAGCCCTACATTTAATACAAACAAAAAGTAGTACAAAAAAGTACAAATTTATACACACACAAAAAGAAGCTATATATAATATATTGAACTTCGTCAAGAAGCCATGCAACGTTCATCATCATTAGCCAAGTATGTGTGCCATCAAATTCTCAAATCTCAACCTTGCGACGTCTTCATCAACCACCGTGGCATCGACACCAAGAGGAACGTTTCCGGGCTGCTTTTCGATCACTTTGCTAGGTTAAAACTTCGTCCATTTCTGGACAGCAAGAACATGAAGCCAGGTGACAAGTTGTTCCAAAAGATAGACATGGCCATTAGGGATTGTAAGGTTGGGGTCGCCGTGTTTTCGCCTCGTTACTGTGAGTCCCCCTTTTGTCTTCATGAGTTGTCTCTTCTCATGGAGTCCAACAAAAGGGTTGTACCAATTTTTTGTGATATAAAACCATCTGAGCTTAGGGTTAACAGTGAAAACTGCCCAGAGAAGGACCTGCATAGGTTTAGATGGGCTCTTGAGGAGGCCAAGTACACAGTGGGACTTACTTTTGACTCTTCCAAAGGGTATAATTATTTATTTAATGTCAGGAGTGTATAAATAATTAAAATTGTATATATATATTTACACATACAAACACATATATATGTGTACTTATATATGTTTGAATTCTTGAGCATTTCTGATGTAGGGTTTGTTTTGTTTTATATTGGGATTGTAGGGATTGGTCGGATCTCCTGAGGAGTGCTACGGACGCGGTCATGAAGAACTTGATCGAGGTTGAAGAAGAGAGATTAGACCGGCCATGATCAAGAAACAAAAATACTCTCTAATTGTTGATTTTTTTCTTTTATCTCCTGCAAAAATCTTCATTATTAATTTGTTCATTCTTTTAACCAAATGTTTAATTAGTTGAGTAGGAAATTAAAAAATCAATGGTATTGACTTAAAGCTTAAGAAACCGAAATGGGTTTCGCTGGACAGAAGGAACTCGTCGATTTCAATGGATGCTGAAATGGTTTCGTTGTCACCGGAGTTTCAATGGAGCTCGCTGCTGGGTTTTGCAAAGGTGGGCCGAGGACCCGACGTAGCTTGGACACCGACTATGTAGAGTAATGAAACTCACCTTTAGTTAATACCCATTAAGTGGTTAATGCTTGCGATGCCCTTTAACTGGTTTCTAGTCGGCGCCAATAAGATTGTAATGATCCTGCACACAATGTATAATAAATAATCAATTTTATTGATTTAAGAAAATGGTACAATTTTCTGTGGTAGATATATATATATTATTTATAAATTTTCTTTTAATTCAATCTCGTTGAAGTTTGGTGCAAAGATTTCAAAGCTTTGAGTCAATTGTGATGAGTTTTCTTCAAATTTTCGAGATTGAAGAAGGCTTGATTTTCGAACGAGGGCTGATGGACCTTGATTTCAAATGATGGGTTGAAGGTCTTCATAGAAGAACACACGTGTGGTGTGCTTGTTATTTTTTGCCTTACAAAATTTCCCCTTTTTCTGATGAGCTGGATGATAAAAAATGGTCTGAACCTGTTGTGGTTCATCAGTCCCCCTAGAAATTTCCGGAAAGTGTTGAAGGCTTTTAAAGAAGAAAGTATGCCACTTGTATGTTGCGTGCTTGTTATTTTTCGTCTTCAGTAGTCTTTCTAGTCGCTCAATGTATGTCCTGAAAGTGTTGAGTGCCCTTATATATATACACCAAATTAATTTTAGAATATTAATTTAAAAACTCTTTAATAATTATGCTAAATTTAAAAAAAGACCTTCATACATCTAAAGTAAATTTTAGAATGTTAATTTAAAAACTCTTTAATAATTATGCTAAATTTAAAAAAGACCTTCATACATCTAAGGTTTATCTTCTTCAATCATTTCTGTGCCATCATTTTCTATCTATGACAGGAAAGCGATTCTTCAATGCCTAACAATATATTTCACAAAAAAAGGCTAATCTTAAAATGTTTGATGTTTGATATATTTAACTTCTTGTACGATAATAAATTACCAAAACAATCTATTGATGATCAGAAGCCAACCCTAATTGCCTGAGGTGGTCGTCGAGTTTGGGCCGTTCAGGTTGCATCCAACGGCCATCGTCGTTCCTCACCATCCCTTTGTTGTTAGCATCTTGCCTCCAGTTAGGTCGGACCAGGTAGTGATCCTTCAAGAAATCACAAGCCAGTGCAGGGTCGCTTCCACTCGCTAACACAAATCTATGGCCTTTTCCATGGTATCTGCGTCACAACATCAATTTTACAACTATATTCAATTAATTGCATTTCTGTATGTATATATATATCTATATATTATCATAAATCTAATGATACATAGTTTCAAGGATCGCGTGAGGTGGAAGGACCCAAAAACCCCTCACACAACCACAACTCCTTGTTGGTTAAATGGAGATGGTGGTGGTGGAGTGAATTGTAAAGAATAAAATGGTGATGAATAACCATATTGATTAGCATTAAGTTTCATTAAACTTCAGGTCTCAAGTTTGATTTCTTTCAGGTGCGACCAATTTTTTATGACTACGATCACAGATATAGTCCGAGTTTTATCCAATTCGTGTAAGTACAATCTCACTTGATGAGAAAAAACAAAAAAAGAAGGTGAAATCACTTGAAGCTAAGAAATAAGTAATTTAAAGCTAATAGCTGGAGTGAGAAACTAAAGACGTGGTACGTAACCGTGTGTAAAATAAAGTTGCAAAGACTAGAAGAGGTAAAGCCATGAAATGAATTTTCACTTTTAATTTTTATTATTTTGTACCTAAAAACGTAAGGCAAAAATCTAAGTCACAGTGATATGTGTGTGGGGCATGTGCATAAAAGCATGTATACGTATACGTATATGTATACATATACATATACATATACATATATATGTATGTAAAATAATATAATGCAAATACAAATTCCATAACTAGATTAGGTGGAATCAAATTCAATTGCTCATTTAAATATGACCCTTGCCTTAAATTAATAATGGTCCAAATTTTTTTTTGAAAGTTTTATTTATTTATTTATTTATTGAATTTGCCAGTCAGCTCAGTTAAAAATATTTGGAGCCTCACCTAAGTTGAAGTTGGTCAAAATTAGAAACATCAACTTCGGATTAAGCAAAATTAAATGACTATGCTTGATAGTTTTGCTTTATACCCTTGTCAATCAACAACACTAAGTACTTTTTGGAACTTTAAAAGCATATAAGTCTAAAATATCATTGGGATAGCAAAAGTAAATGAATATGCTTGATAGTTTTGCTTTATTCCTTGTCAATCAACAACACTAGGTCTTTTTGGAACTTTAAAAGCATTTAAGTCTAAAATATCATTGGGATTACTCCCAAAAAAACAAAGGGGTGGATGGGGTTGGGTAGGTCAAATGTGAAAACCATGAAGTCAAAGTCAAGGTTTGATGTGAAACCAATGAAGTCAAAGTCAAGGTTTGATTGACGTTTCTTCTACTCCCTCTCACCGTCCATATACTTTTAATACCCGTATATGCATATATATACATAGATATATATACACACACACACACTATATACACACAAAACTAACATTGCGTTAGATGATTGTCTCGTCTTTTCTCCCTACAAACAACGGGTGGGATTTGGGTGGACGGGTCAAGGGATTAGTCCAGGCCAAACTCAAGATTCTAATCCTTCGGACTACGCTAAATTTAAGTGCCGGAGAACTTATCATATTTCAACTTGTACCATACCACACAGGTTTTTTTGGGATCATTGAGTCATCCCAAATTGTAATATCCTATTAATAAATAAATATTAAAATATATAATATGTATACTTGACATAAAATAAAAGGGACGTAAATCAACCAAACTATGTTATTAGAATACAGAAACTAGTGGTAATATGGTACTTAGAAAAATTCATTTTTATTAGAATTTGGAAAGAATCCAAATCTTATATTCTTTATTATTTTGTTTTCTTAACTAAATTTCAATTACTATTATTATTATTATTATTATTATTTTTTAATTTATAATTTTAAAGCAGGTGTCTAAGTTAGGTGAATTCTCTACTATAAATATTAAATCAAAGGTATAATATTAAAAATATAAAAATTAAGTTCGGGTTCATCGGATTGTTTGGGTTAGTAAAACCTACTCTCAAGTCCTGCCCAAAAAAGATTCAGACTCTAAAATTTAAACTAAGTTCCATCCCATAGTTTCAAGTATCTTATTTTTGGACGAAAATCTGGTTGTTTGGGTTAGGCCACCCAAGTCCCAGCCCAACAACAAACATTTTTATTATTATTTTTTTGTTCTTTATTTTGGGGTAAGTTATACCACTAACATTCTCTTAGCCATTCATTTTTTTTTAATTGTCTTTATTATATATATATATATATATATATATATATATATATATATATATATATCACTTGTTATAAATTTAATTGGGGCGTCCATGCTATGTAATAAAGGAAAGAAATTGAAAAAAAGGAGAAAAAAGAAAGAATCCATGTGAGATTATTAGTTGTGTGTATATAATGTATATAAATTAGGGGTAACAATGCAATTGGGTGAGTTTGGACGAATTTTGAATGATTTAGGTATGAATAGGTCAGCAATCCATTATTAACTTACCAATGACAAGTTATAAATGGGCAAGCATTCAAATGAGCGGATCAAAAATAATTTAACTCGTTCCAACATGTTTTTGTTTGTTTGTTTGTTTTTGTTTTTGTTTTTGTTTTTATTTTTATTTTTCTCACTTTTGCAAACTGAATCTTTTGTGATGGCAAAATTCTAATACTGACTTCAAAGCAAATTTAAAATTTCATTATTATTATTATTATTTATCCTCAAACAAAGTTTCTTTAACTATCATATTAAATTGAAAAAAACAAAGATTATCTCAATTTACTTAATTCTTTTTCAATTTACAGAATTTAAAAAATTGTTGAGAATTGTTGCAAATTTTTTTTTTTTTTTTTCAGCCCTCGCAAAGTCGGGGCATCGCTGTCTCAGTTGAAGTATTTTCCATTTGTGATATCAATGTACAAATTAAAATTTGTATAATTCATATTTTTTTAGTTAAGTAAATATTCTCGTATACAAAACTATTTCATATTTATGTGTGTCTATATGTTGGAACGGGTTAAAATTTGTGTGTCTATACGTTGGAATCGGTTAAATTAACTGCAAACAACATATACTAGCTACACTGTGCCCAAAAGACGTCACTCATTTGATTTTATTGTATTTATGAATCTCCTAGATTTTGTGTGAGACACATTATACTAATAATTGTACTTATTTTTTTTTTTTTTAAATATATGTATCGATTTCATAATATACACACTATTCAAGTCCGGTTCAAAAACAAATTTTACTTCTGATTCCTACCAATGACGCCATGGCCCTAGAGACAATAATTGTACTAATAGAACATCACAGAAAGAGAAAAAAAAAGGACCAATCTTTTCATTTATTCATTCAGACATACACAAAGAATATGAAAAGCAAAATATCGAATAATCAACCAACCATGAAAAGTACCACTACCGGATGTTAATGATACTTTAATAATATATATATATATATATATATATGAGGATGCGGCAAGTGGCATGGGCCGGATATAGTTCGCGGGAACGGGATCGGGTCGAATGATTGAAGTAGGATCCATGCCAAAGCGCCCTGGAATGGGCCGAACCTGGGGGATCCATCGAGGAAGGTCAAGCCCAGAAGGAAGAGAGCTTTTGAATATAGGCCCAATGTAATCGGTTAACAGTAATAAGGGTGATGGCCTA